GTTCCATGGTTAATGTTGTCTTGTGAAAAATTCGTCTTGCGAAACGCCTTTTCCCATAGGAGTGCATTGAAATCTAATTAATGCATTCCTATGGGCAAAAAAAAGTCAGAACAAAGTTAAATTTTGTTTACAAAGGGTTTACTAAGTGCTCTTTAAAGCCATACATATTGTCCAGATGATTTTAAAAATTTCAGTAAAAAAACTTTAACTTTTAAAGCATCATAGAAAAACATTTAAAAATCAGCAAACATGAGGCATGAACAAAAAACGGAAAACACTCTTCTTGTGAAGCACGGCCATAGGAACATTTGTTTTGCGAGTCATCAACCCCCATTGCCAAAACCATTTGTCTTGCATTTTTTGTCCTGCAAGGCATTTGTCTTGTGAGGCATCACTGTATTTCATTATACAGTATTTCGGCAAATCTTGTTCTGTTTATGATCAGTCTCAGTCACCCTTTACTTCCTCAGTTGATATTACAAGGGATGTCCTTCACCGAAGGCCAAATTAGATCAACAAACATCCCTTTGACCTCGGTACTGGCTTCAAAGGGATGTGATCTATCATTTACCAATCCTAATCTCTCTTTATCAGTATGGTGATAAGCTATGACCTGGGTAACCCCTTAACCATTCTTTTCAGAGAAAAGGATTCTGAGTGTGACAAAGAGGAAGAGAAAGGCTGCCATCCTCTATGAGCAGAAACTGCAGGTAGGCATCAGATCTACCTGTATTACCTGGTAGCTAAGATACTCAAACCACATCTGTAGAGGAATATTCAACAAGGAATGAGGCAATCTCAAAGATCTCCCGTTTCCTTGCCACACCCTTAACACTGATTCTGAAGCTTCTGTAAATGATTTTCTTCTCCATGTAAACATCGGAAGGCTCACTTTCGCTGTGCCAGCAGAAGCCTGGCAGGGCTTGGGGTATGTCAGGGACTCCAAATTCGGAGCATTCCAAGTCTACAGGTAGGGTTGCCATCAAACTTTTATTTAGAGCCAACACTATACAGACAGCCTTCCTCTATTGGCTGTGACTCAAACCCAGCCACACTGAATTCAGCTTTATTTCCTTCTCTATAAAAATATTTAATCATCCAAAGTCAAGCTCATTCAAAGTTTCATGGGCAAATGGTTCCACTACCGTATGCAGTGAAGAAAACCACCAACAAGGGAAAATACACAAACTATTGAAGTCTTGGTTTCAGTGATACCCTATGTTACAACAGTCTGCAATCTGAAAGGCATGTTTATGGCTCAGTGGTTATGCAAACAAATGTCCAAAGTTGGTGACGGTGGTGGGGAGAACCGAAAAGAGGTTCATCCCAAGGTCAAGAAGTTTAGGCCCTCAAAGAAATAGTGATCTTTCAAAACTTTACCCTCTATTCCCTCTCCCTTCAGTATGAAACTGCTCCCCACAGCAGCCTATCTGGCAGTATTTTTATAAATGTTACTTTTTTGGACTGTAAGTCCCAGCATTCCCAATGACTCTGCTGGGCACTCAGTGTGGCTTGCCCTTTGTTTCGCACATTCTAGGTTGCACATCATGTATCTTTACAGCAAGGGTTCATGGCTAGAAAAGGGCACCTTCTTGATACCTACCTACCAAGGAGTGCGCCCACATGCCTTCTGCTTCTAACAGTGTGGTTCCACCATCAACACTATGCAAATTAGTACCAACCACCCTGCAATAGCATCTGGCACATCATATCCTTACAAGAATATGACCATCCATTAATATGGGAAGGAAGGAAAGTCTGGTCTTTCAAAAGCCAGGTTGTGTCTTCAACAGATGTCTACTGTGCACCAACCAGCAACCAGATATGGAATAGTATAAGTCTTGTGGGAAGGCGTGAATTTGAACACTTCCCCATGGGGCACAGAAGTTGCACCAAGACTGAACGCTTACCTGCACCCAGTCAGTGAACTGGTGAAAAGCTTGAAAGCAGCAGAAATCTGGGCCATTGCAGTTTGCTAGGAAGACAACACACTCGAACCAGGAGACAGCGTTTTATTTTGTACAGTATAATACAAAGGGTTTGTGGCTTTCAAACATGACTATCCTCCTCCTTCCAGATCTGTGTAGCTGGAGTAGGGGAGAGACTTTATACATACTCAGAGGTACTTATATTATTTCACATTCCAGGGTACAGACATGTAAAAACTGGTTTCAGCATCAAAACCTCCCTCAAATTATATTCTACTGGCTTCAAAAACAGGGTGGAGATGTATATGCGGTATTTAATTTAGGAAGGAGAAGGTCTGCTTCTTCATCTGTGTTTGAAGTCCTAGACAAGATTTGATACTAAAGGTATGCACACTGGTGTCCCCGGACTATAATTCCCAGAATGGCAGAAGAGTTGCAGTCCAAAAAAAGAGATCTCCACACTTATCTAGGCTTATCTGGTGCCAGGAGGTTTGGGTGATCAGCTGTGGTTTGGACAACGAAAATGAACTGTCACTGCTGGTCCATCTTCCATTTCTTCTCCCTCCATTTTCACTGTCTACACCTCCCTCCATGATGTGTACTGCATATAAACCTGAAATTCTGGGTAACACATCACACATTAGATCAGTGTTTCCCAAACTGGGGATTGCAAAGTGTTTTCTGGGGGTCACAGTTCGCTTTCTATGTGTAGCAGGCCTTGTTCAATAGTTTTTTTCCTTGACCTGTTGGACCAGGATATTAAAATTAACGTGTATGTATGAGAAACAGGGGGACGTGGTGGCACTGCGGGCTAAACCGCAAGGCACCCGTGCTGCAGGGTCAGAAGACCAGCAGTCGTAAGATCGAATCCACACGATGGAGTGAGCGCCCATCGCTTGTCCCAGCTCCCACCAACCTAGCGGTTTGAAAGCATGCAAATGCAAGTAGATCAATAGGGACCACCTTGGTGGGAAGGTCACGGCGTTCCGTGTCTAAATCGCACTGGCCATGTGACCACGGAAGGTTGTCTTCGGACAAAAACGCTGGCTCTATGGCTTGGAAACGGGGATGAGCACCGCCCCCTAGAGTCGAACACGACTGGACAAAAATTGTCAAGGGGAACCTTTACCTTTACCCATTTATGAGAAACAGGCTCTTTAGGAGAGAAAGAAGCCTCTACTGTACTTTAAAAAAGAAAAGACTTTACCCCCTTACAATTTTTGCCTTTTTATGCAAATGTTGCACAGTTACTGGGCTATTATAAAAGGGGGTCTCCACTCAAAAGAGGTTGGGAATTGCTGCATTAAATGAAGTGGGCTAGAGTCCACAAAAGCTTAGGTTATAATAACCTCAGTCATTAAGGTGTTTGTTGTTTTGTCTTAAAAGAGTCGTCCCACTCCTTCAAAGACACCTTCCTATACTCAGGTCAGTCCAAAGGACAGAAAACTAAATCCCGGGCCATCAAGCTAAGAGAAACTGACCCGGGAGGTCCTAGCTTGAAGAACAGCTCTTTCTGGACACATCGTGCTGGACTGAACCATGCAAGAGGGTCATAGAGGAATGTATAGGCAGCTCCAGGGGGACACCTGGTTTGTAGCTGACTCTGGTCTCATCAGATACAGTGTTTGTTCCTCTACACTCTGTGACACCCAGGGTCTCTTGTTGCCAAATGAGCATCCCTCTTACTGGGGTTTCTGTACACATTTACTTCTAAAACCCCACTTCTCTTTGTAAAAAAAAAATAGTCTATTTTAAAGAAATGGCTCATAAATATTTCAAAACTGGGCACAAATAAGGGAAGAAATGCTCCATTTGGGTGAGGGCCTCTGTATCTTAAAAGTATCTTAAAACTGAAAACGAAGTCTCTGCAAAATGAAGACCAAACAATCTGAAGCTGGCAGTGGTTGGTTTTAGATTTTAGAGACAGGCCTTGAACCAGCACATTGTTTTTTTACCTGCAGGATTAACGCTGACATCCAACACTTTTTTCTGGGTATCTCAACAGTAGCAGCCACGCACAGTGCTGATCAGCAGGCAGTTCTTATCCTTTGCCGAAGCAATAATTAAAGATTTTGCATACTGATTGCGTTCAGTGGTATTTTCCTGCAGTATTGTATCAATAGTCATTCACTTAACCATTGATCTAGCATGTTACACTTCACAAAAGTCTGTAAAACTGCTTCGAGGTGAGAGAAAAGGATTATGGACTGACTAATTGGGGCTCAGCTCAGCCATCCACCAGCCCATCAGTGCTATGCACAACGCTGGAAAAATGCACCCAATCTCCTCTGGGGAATTACATCTGCCTATAAGCAATGGATTGCTTTCGGTTCTAGTGCACAGCCACTGCTTTCTCCCCATGTGTCTCTGAATGTATCATTACATACTTTTCAAAGCAACATTTGAGGGAAAGTTCTCTTTCCATGTGAGAACCAGAGTGGTGTCATGGAGAGACTGATGGACTAGAATTCAAGAGATCTGGGTTCAAATCTCTGCTGAAAAAACTACCACAATAAAATCAGGGAATTACACGGATGTCCAAGAACTCAAGAGACCTGGGTTCAAATCTCTACCACAATAAAATCAGGGAATTACATGGAGGTCCGACAAAGCAACAACATTTCCAAGTACTCATGAGATCTCTGCTACCTTCAGCAAGAGTCTGAATAGTAGTTAATTCGCTCCCAAACAGCAATGAGAAAACAGTTCCAACAGCAGCTGTTGAAGATGCATTAAAGCTCATACAACGTGCGACCCGCTGGACTCAGAACCTGCAAATGTTATTTTTTTTCCAGACTCTATTCCATGAAACTCTCAGCCAGCCCGTCCGTTAGCCAGGCTGACTGGTGGATTCTGGGAAATTTAGTCCACATAAATAACATGTACAAACTCTGAGTACGTTGGGCACAGTAGTCCACCAGCTGTGTACATGCACTGCCAGGTCCTTGGCAACGCCAGGGCTTCCCCACACGGGCTGCATTTGGCCCGCTAGGTCACACAGGGTTCCGGCACACCCTCTGCTGCTGGCAGAAAGCCGCCCATTCTCTGACCCTTGTCCATCCATCAGACGAGCTCCACGGCCTCCTGCTCTCCTCCGTTTTCCTGGTGCACCATGCACCCCACTTTGTTGTTGAAGAGGCGAGACAGGCTTCCCTTCGGAGAGCGCCTGCCCTGGAGAGACCTCTCCTTCCAGCGACGCTTGTTCCGCTTGTAGATCTGCCGTATGTCCCAGATCCTCAGTGTGCCATCGTGGGAAGCTGTGTACAATAATTCATTGTGGATCTGGAACAACAGGGCCATGTTTAGGACAGCTCAGCATCACAGTAAACACAGAACAGTAGAAAAGCAAAAAACAAAACAAAAACCCATCCTTTGGCCTCGCCTATTTGTAGAGTATCCTGCTGCCCCCCCCATCCCTCTTATGCCTAGTTCCAGATGTCTTTACAGAAGGGTTTGTGGTGAGGCTGGTTACACAGACAGAAGTATTCTCTCTTCTTTGTTGCTACACTGCCTGATCTATACATGCACCACAGCAAAGTAGAAATGATGGAGAGTCCAGGTGACAGGTTGAACTGCAGACTTGGGAGTCATTTCCCTCTTATGCCTAGTTCCAGATGTCTTTACAGAAGGGTTTGTGGTGAGGCTGGTTACACAGACAGAAGTATTCTCTCTTCTTTGTTGCTACACTGCCTGATCTATACATGCACCACAGCAAAGTAGAAATGATGGAGAGTCCTGGTGACAGGTTGAACTGGGAGTCATTTCCATCATTTTCAGTACTTTTCTGCATACAAAAGCTACCTGCACACATAAAGCTAGTAAGTATAGGAAGAGATGGTTTAGAACCTTTCTCTCTAATACACTGGCAGGAAGATGAATTAGGAAGATGGGCTAACTTAGAAAAGATGATCAGGCAAAATCCGAAGAAACGAAACAAAATAAAGACATGTGGCACCTTAAAGACTAACTAATATATTTTAAAGTGAGCTTTCATGGACTGTAATAGTTTAGTCTGTAAGGTGACACATGTTTTTGTCTTTGTTTTGTTTCTTCGGATTTTGCCTGATACGTTTGCACGGACTAACAACGGCGACCTCTTCTAGAACTACCATTAGAAAAGACTGTTAATTAGTAGCTCCACATCTGTATAGTCTGAAGTGATCTTATCCCATCCCAGTGTATTGTCTCCGAGTCCTGCAATGTAGACGAGGCCTGTGTTGCCACAGCACAAGTAAGTTCTGGACTTCAGGCCCGGTTTAAATTAATTATTTTATTTTATTTATTTATTGTATTTATACCCCGCCTATCTAGTCATTTCAACAACTCTAGGCGAAATTAAGTCCTCTGGCCATTTGAAGCACTTGGTCTGAATGAGGAGTGGGATTTTATCTTTTCACAAAGAGAAAATTGCAATATTGTTGGGGCTTTGATGGGATTCTTTTCCTTCTGTGACCCTCCTCTTCTCACAATAAGCCCCTGTTCTCTTTTAGAATGCCCTCTGCATAAAGGCAAGTTGGTTCCTTTCAGCTTCCTCTTCCAGAGTATAATGAATGCGTGGCCCACGCACAAATCCATCCTACTCACTATGACTTCACTCTGCTGCCAGTATTAACATAGCTTAAATGCCTCTCTTACACATACATTGAGTGGCTGATGAGATGCCCACAGTGAGAAGTGGTTGGGGAAGGAGAAGGAGTCTACTCATTTAGAACGAAGACAGAATATTAGTGCAATCACAACGTGTGCCCTTTATCCTTGCCAGGTGTGAAATGGGGCAGAATAGCAAACACAGGAGGAAGAGCCAAGTCTAAACAGTCCACCCTACTCAGAGCGCTGTGAGATTTTCTCCCAGGTCAGCATGTACAGGATTGCAGCTTAAAACTGTGAGCTCAGCTTTTAAGCCAAAAGCAACAGGAAATATGACCCTAATTTTATTTACACTGGATTGCTTTCATGCTCATCAATGGGACCAAGTCCACGACTAACTTAAATCTCCACAATCTAAGTATGGCTAAATCTGGGTCCAACCCACTGAAAACCTTAAGCGATGATCAGGAAGTAATGTTTAACGGGGGCATGTGTTAAAATGCAGCAAAAGCTGAAGGGCAGGTGTTATTATTTGTACCTCCTGGCTCACTTCTGCAGGAGCCAGCCCGGGAGCAAAGACTTCTTGATTCACCTCCTCCATGAACTATAAACAGCAAAAGAGGCTTTTGACCGAAAGCTCTTCACTGCTTTGTGCCTATGTTATTCCACAAATAATGGATGCCCTTTCCCCTTCTACAGAGCTTGGAGGCCTTTGTTTGGACTACAACCCCCAGAATCCCCCAGCCAGCACGGATGTCATACTACCTGAGAGATTATACGGTCTAAATCTAACTAAAGGAGACCCAATTAAACAATGGGAAGTTGGTAAGTCAACACTTCATATAAGCTCTGTTGACTCAATGGGTTAACTGGAACGAACACTTTGAGTTATAGTCCAACAAAATAATTCTTCTAAGCTCTGTTCTTGCAGGAGCAGAGGGCTAACAAGCCTATGGCCTGTCTTTCCAAACCAGCAGTTGGGAAAGGTGCAGAAGAGAGATAGAGTTCTGCTAAAACATCTTTTTAGGTTTATAAGAGGAAGGAATGACTTGAACAATCCTTTGCCTGCACCTTAACTCAGTGAAAGACTACATATGGATTGGGCATTATAGGCTGAGTAGTGGTAGGAAGCGCCAGAGGACTTTGCTGAACTGCTTTAAAGAAAAGTAATCCACGCTAAACAACAGTCAGAGATGTGGCTGGTCAAAGTGAATTTATCTGTGCCCATTTCCGTAAGGGATGCTGATCAGGAGTGGCCCACAGTCTAGGGGCACTTCACCACAAAGTACAAACAGAGGTCACCAGCGGGTCTTCTACTACGTACAGTAATGCCTCGCAAGACAAAAGTAATTCGTTCCGTGAGTAGCGCTGTCTTGCGAAATTTTCATCTTGTGAAAGGTGGTTTCCCATAGGAATGGATTGCAATGTATTCCTATGGGAACCTCGCAAGACGAAAATAATTCATTCGTCTTGCGAGGCATTGGTCTTCTGAAAAACATTTGTCTTGTGAAGCACAGCCATAGAAGCCGTCTTGCGAGGCACCACAGCAATCGCAAAAACCATTTGTCTTGCAGGGTTTTCGTCCTGTGAGGCGGTTGTCTTGCGAGGCACCACTGTAGTATAAAGCCATTCAAGCAAGCTGGCTTTTGTTCAGCGAACCATTTGTCTTGCAGGGTTTTCGTCCTGCGAGGCGGTCATCTTGCGAGGCACCACTGTAGTATCAAGTCATTCAAGCAAGCTGGCTTTTGTTCAGCAATATGGAGATCTAGCAGCATGAGGAAGAACTCTTTCCTCAGAATAATTTCTTCTTAGGAGGTTCTACCCCTTCTGCCACTGTGCAGCAACCTGCCATCAACAGCTAACGGAGCGAAATGGTGCCAAACCATTCAAACACTTCCAATTTGAGGATTGATTTTCAAGTTCAAAGAGGCGGCATCTCACCTGGATGCAGTTAATAACCAGCTTGTGTCCTCGAAAAACTCTCTGCAAGATGCCGGTCTTTGTATTAAATGCTCGTGCACACGCATCACCACTTCCTGTAAACACTGTAGTAAAAACAAAGACGGGATTTTTTCCAGAATATTTCATTATAGCCTCCTATTGAAATCCTTGCATGCTATAACCTTCTACCGAAAGGATACAAGGGAAGATGTGAAAAGGGGGGGAAATTAACTCGTTGTACATTTCCCAATTCCTTTTTTAGTGCATTGGAACATAAAGACTACGATTTTAACTATTGAGAAAGTTTGCAAGAATTTTAAGGGGGAAAGCAGGTTGTTAAGTAATCTGGAATAGCAGCTCTTCGGGAAACCTTGTCACTTGTCTAGACTGGTAATCCCTCTTGAGGACACAGGAATATATCATTCTCCATTAAAAGCCATGCTTGCCCCAGGCTATGCAGTGGTAACATGCTCTGTATCAAGAAGTGTCCTCTCCAGAGCATGAAGCCTGGGTAAAGTAGAATGGAGCATGCACATACTCTCAAGCTAAATCAGCACAGAATTGCAGCTCATGTAAAAACTTAAATACCATATATATTTATGCAACCCCCTTTCTTATCAGGTGGGTATGCAGAGGACACAAGCCTCCGGGTATCACACAAACAGAGTCACCATTTAGCAAGCAAGATTATAATTTCCTCTTCTGACTACAAGTTTAATCTTTGAGGATGGGAGCAAGCCATTTTTAAATCATCCAAAATGTGTTACCGGTACTTCTTTTTTATCTATTATTTTTGTTGTTGTTGTCAGTGCACTACGTATTTTAAAAAGGTATTCAAGTACAGTAAGGTCAAAAAAAATTATGGGTTCATTTCAGAAACAGAACTGAGTTGTTGTTGTTGTTACAATAGCTGTTAAGCCACACCATCCACTCAAAGCTTTTAAATAATTCAAAACGGCACTGTGTACATCATGCTATATTATTCCAAACACTAATCTCAATAAAACATTCAGTTCCAGCTTTAAATAAGGGTGTGACAGGCCAGAAACCACACTTGTCCATCACAATGGAATAGTGATTTAGTAACCAATGGTTGAGCAGGAGGGCGGAACCAAGGAAATATAAGAAGAGAATAGAGGATGGTTAAAGTTCAGTTAGAGTTAGGATTTCAATTAAAACAGGAGTTAGGGGCTTTGGTTACTGATGAGATAGGACAGTTAGTCAGGAGTAAGAGAAAAAGTTAGGTAGTTGGAAGAATTTGTTTTGGAAATAAACACTTAGAAAGAATCGTATAAGAGAACTGAATGCAACTGTTATAAAGTGATTGAAACTAAATACGAAGTAACCAGCATATTTCTGAAGTAAATGAAGCTTAATGAATACCAAATACTATTCCATCTATGATTTCTTTGATTCTCAAATATGTTAATCTATAAAATAAACCTCATTATATTTAACACGATTGATTCTGTGATCCTAATTAGCAACTGAGGAAGGATTTCCTCTGTTGGCAACGGAAATGGAGACAAGAGAAACTGTCATGCCTGAAAGCAATCCGTTTGTTAGGGAGAATATACAGAGCAGCTGGGTGTGTGTGACAACGGGTTTGGAAATTAAGGGTGTGACTATATTGCAATGCTCCAAGTTTCTCCAGGTTTAGTACAGTACAAATTTATTAAAAATTTCCAGACTACAACATGTTATGGTTTTTTTTTTGGTTAAGTTTAGGCAACCTTCAGTCTCGAAAGACTATGGTGACGTGCTCTGTATGGGGGACTTGGAACAGCGTCTAGTGTGGCTGAGGAGGCCAATTCGAGAGTGACAATCTCTTCCACACTGAAGACAAATCCAATCTGTTCCCTGTCCAGCTCCCTGGTTTTGCTGCTTTTGTGACTTCCTCTTTGCCTCAGCCTGCTGGACAAGGGTCTCGTCAAATTGGGAGAGGCCGTGATGCAACGCCTGCCTCCAGGCTGAACGCTCAGATGTCAACATAACAACATGTTATGGTAAATCTCACGTTTTTCTACGAGGAATCGTTTCTTTTTGAACACCCATCAGGAAGCGGTTTATATTTTAAATCGCTCTGCTTTGTGCTGTCTTTTGACCCATTTTTGGTTGTGTGAATGGCCATGTTGTTCTAGTCTATGCACAGAGGCATTTCCTCTGCTGACATTTTGGTGCTGTGCTGTGTTGTGCTAGGGCTTACTTTCAGGTTAGGTCTTATTTTCAGGGAAACAGGGTATCAAGAACATGCTTGCCTGGAGTACAGATCATGTCAGACCAGGTTTTATCTCACTGTACATCCTACCTGCAATTGACCATGGCTTGAAGGCTATTCATGAGTTTGGGAGGGGGGGGACAAGACAAAAAGCCAATACGCCTTCTGAGAAAACACACGCCTTTATGTACAATTACTATTGTGTGTGCGCACATATAATTTTCTTTTCTTTTTCGCCTTCAGAGAGCAGAACAGCCCAAGTTTACCAACTGCTGGTACAGTTTTCTGCCATCTGGAAGCATTTATTTCTTAAATGCAAAGGCTGTGGTCTGCTGCTATGGAATGAGAATCACTATCTGGGTAAACATTGGGTGGTTTTTGCTTTCAAGCGAGGTCAAGTGCTTCTAGAGAGCAAGAGAAAAGACCCAATCCAGAATACCTCTGAATTTCAGCCTTGGCCTGCATGCAAGCATCAATAATAATTCTTACGTAGGCATTATGATTGAAAGCGTGGAAAGCTAAGTGAGTGTCTGTTATGCATGCAAACATCCATGCCTCTGTCTCAAATAAAAGTTACCCAGAGGGCCTGGAAACATGTTATGCTAAGCACACCTAAAGAGCTCCCATAATTGGAAGCCCAAACATCTGTTCAGTCCTCTATGCCCTCAGTTATAACACCCCAAAAAGAGCTTGAGAGGAGATGGAGAAGAACCTTATGCAATTTGCTGTGCACTTCTGCATCTTAGCAATTTAGGCTAATACAACAGAGCCTGCCTGGCAAGAGAAAAGCTCGGATTGGCCACTCGCTTTTTAATGGATGGAAGAAAGATCTTCCAGGAAGACTTCTGGTAGAAGCCTGATTACAACACAGGTCTATTTCTTCTTTTTTTGGCAGCTTTTGTTTAGGCTTTTCTGCGTTACAGTGTAAAGTGCTACAGATCTCTGAAAAAGTGATTTTTGACTTCAGACCGTTATGGGACACCAAGTCACCCACCCAGACCCAAAAGAAATGGACTTGTAAAGCAATATTATTTCATCTTTCAACATTTGCCCTTTCATTCTGGATTTTCAACTACAACAAAAGCTTTCAATACCTTTGCGCTACACCTCCGTAATGAATGCATGATCCATTTCAGAGATCTAGATAAATAAAGCCACATTTTCGAACCAAACATAGGCAGTATGCCATGTCAGCAAAATGGTGAAGCAGATGAAAAGGAGATGAATGTACTGAGCACCACCATGGGAACTAGATAACCTGACTTTGATATACAGCTGACAGCAGCCCAGGGCAGATCTAGCCTCCCAAATCTAAAGAAGGATGAAGGACACCCGTTTTCAAGGGAGCTAAAGCACACAAAAGATTTACTTGGTTGGATGTTGCTCACTGACTCTTTCAGAGATGCGTAGATCTCGCAAAATTGGTATCTGGGACTATTAAATGGTGGGGCGGAGGTCTATATGCTATTTTTCAAAAGTAAATAACCCTTCCTTGAGTCAGGGGAGAGCTGGGCCCTTTTCCCACCATCCCTGTATTAACTGAGCAGCACAAGAATCCTTCATATTTTCCAAGCTTGTCTCTGGAATAAGTTACTATAATATAGGATCTCTCTAGTGCTGAGAATTGTTATTTGACAACATCTGCCAGCAAAGGTTATAGTCTTGGATTGGGACCTGAGAAACCCAGGTTCTTGTCCCGACTGAGCCACACAACCCAATGGGTGACCTTGGGCCAGCTACAGTGGTGCCTCGCTTAACGAGCGCACCGTTTAACGACGAATCCACATAGCGATGCATTTTTGCAATCGCTGATGCGACCGCATTGCGATGTTTAGATAGGCTAAACATCGCATTGAGATGATCGGTAAGCGTTTCGCTTACCGATCTTCGCATTGTGATGTTTAGAAAACAGCTGATCGGCGGTTCCAAAATGGCCGCTGGGTGCAGAAAATGGCCGCCCGCAGCGTTTTCGCGCCCTGCCCTCGCTTACCGGGCAGCGAAAATGGCGGCCGGATGGGGGAATCTTCGCTTACCGGTGAGTTTTTCCCCAATAGGAACGCATTAAACGGAGTTGAATGCGTTCCTATGGGTTCCCCCCTGCATAGCGAGAAATCCGGATAGCGATGTTAATGCTGGAACGGATTAACGTCGCTATGCAGGGCACCACTGTATTCTAAGAACACATCATGGCCATTTGTTGATTCTTTGTTCACTTTTATTTAATGTATCTTTGTTCTATTATTCAGCACATTGATCTCCACAGCCGCTAAAAGATCAGTCCTTTTAAATCTCAGAATAACCCTGAGATAGGTCAGGCTAGAAGGCCAATTGCTAAAGTCCTACTAGATAGGGACATGCGCACAAGAAAAAAACTGTGGAAGCCATCACAACTAATGGTAGCTGACTGGCAAGGTGACAGGCCCATACCAAATGCATGTTATGTGAGCAGTCTTGCTTGGATTCTGCCCAGTGATAGACCCAACTTTACCCAATGAGATACACAAATGTGTGGCCATTTGAACTTGGGTGTCCCCAATTCTCATCTGAGACAAAGCATGATGAAAAGGCATATCAGTGAATCTCCTGGAACTTACATATCCCAGCATGGTATTTCAAAGTGCTGACGCTGTGCTTGTGAGCCTTATATGTCCGGATCCGTTCCCCAGTATCAGCCAACCAGCATTTCACTGTCCGGTCTGCACTCCCTGAATACAAGCAACGATTCACAAGCTAAGATGGGAAAGAGAAGAAATACTGTAATACTTTCATGAGTGGCTATCATATTCTAAGTCTTCCTCCTCGAATAGAAGAAAGAGATGCAAATAATAATCATGGCACTGAAAACTGCAATGGATTCAGAACCAGAATGTGCATTCTCACCTACTTGCAACTGGCCATCAAACAGCTCTGCAATATCAAGCCGAAAGAAACTAAATAACGCTCAGACTCTCAGACTACAGTGGTACAACCAGAGAAACCAGTAAAACCTACATAGCCAGCACTGCTATGTCTGTTGGTTCAGATTCGAGCTAAGATAGCGTAGGTAGGTACGGCTAAGGAAGATGATGTTCCAAGCCAGTAGTTCCTAACTCTGGGTCTCCAGATGTTCTTGGACTGTAACGGCCAGAAATTCTGGCCACCATAGCTACCCTGTCTCCCTGAAAATAAGCCCTAATCTGAAAATAAGCCCTAGTATGATTTTTCAGGATGCTCATAATATACGGTAAGCCCTACCCCAAAAAGAAGCCGCAGTTACGTGAAACCCTGCCCTCCACCATTGTGCAGCAACCAGAAGAAGATGACAGGACTATTTGAATAAATTTAGATGGTTGTACATGAAAAAAAAAAACTTCCCCTGAAAATAAGCCCTAATGTGTTTTCTGGATCAAAAATTAATATAAGACCCTGTCTTATTTTTGGGGAAACACGGTAGTGGCAAAGGCTTATGGGAGTTTTATTCTAAGAACACCTGGGGGCTCAACATTGGGAACCACTGTTCTAAGCTCTGTCTAGGAAATGCAGCTAACAGCTAAGCACTCTTCTGTTGTGTCACATCGGTCTGACTCTGCAGCATTAACTGGATAGAAGCAAGGAGCAGCAAGTTCTCATGCTGCTCCGATAGTGCAGGCCCCTTGTTTAAGGATACACCAACTCACTGAGCTATTCAGCCAACTAGTAGGGTGTTCGATACAGTACCTATTATTATAATATCTAATTTAGTTAGTTGCAGAGGTCCCTCTGCAGTCACCTTTCATTATGTAGATGAGTAGTTGTACCGATGTAGGCTCACTATCAGATGTGTGTGAGAAACATGTGAAAATAAGAAAAGTCACATTAGATCAGACCAAAGATCTCTCTAATCCAGCAGTCCCATCACACAATGGCCAGCCAGATGCCTATGGAAAGACTATAAGAAGACTTCAGTGCATCTGCTTCCCTTGGGAAAAAAACCCTCTCTGTATGCTCTTCTAATGTAAAAGGCACTGGATTAGGATTAGATGCACATGGCTGGGTTAAACTGTAATGGCGAAGTCAACTCAGTTCAGACTAAGGAATGAGCAGATCTACGTTTATTTGCTTAATGATAATCTATTTTAGCAATATAGCACCAGTTACAAAACTACTTGCCCTGCATTATCAATTTCTCCTACCAACTTGTGTTTCAAACCAAATATATCTTTACAGAAAATGTATGCAAATTGTAAAAATCCAATTAGTTTCTCATTCACAAAACTTAAATCTGCTGTAGGTTCCTCCTCCCTGCAGACCTCAACAGCCACCCTGGAGGAATGCTTCCCTCCAAAATGTAATCCATTATTCTATATTTTTTAAAATGCTTCACGCAACCTCCCACAACATTCATTTGGCTAATGGAATGGAAAAACAACTTCAGCCTCAGGCTTGAGGTATCTTATATCGTGAGGCACATACCAAGTATGTTACAAGAATGTCCCTATAAGATCTCTGCTTAATTTATATCACATTAAATCAAGTGGGCAATCAATGCAAAACATACTTTTAATGTCTTTCATTAGAAAGACAGACATTCCTTTCATCAGAAAGAGCAGTGATTAATCTTCCATAATTAGAAAGCACAAAAAGAGGGAAGAGAGGGTACACTTATGACAATAGTTTTTTCCAAATGTATCCAAACGCTAACAATGGCTGGTTTTAAAAAATGAGTAGGGAGACACAATTCCCAATTATAATCTGCTTGTGGTTTGAAGAAGCAGCGAAAGCTTTGTTGCTGTGTTTTTCTTGGCGAGCTTTGGGAAAAGCTTTGTTCACTCTGGCTAACTTCCCAATAGAACGGCTGTTGGAGAAAAGCACAGCCCTTCACGAAAAGCAGAGTATAATTGGACTTGTACCTCTTAGGGCCTGTTTTGCACTGAAGTTTGGAAATGTTAGTGGAAATGCTTTATGCATTTCCATTAGTCATTACTTAAAAAATTTATAATGTATTAACACATTAACAACAACAACAACAACAACAACAACAACAACAACAACAACAACAACAACAACAACAACAACAACAACTGCAATGTGCCATCAAGCCAGTTTTGACTTAGGGCAACTAGAGATGGTACTTTGTTTTTGATAGACTTCCACTCCTATATGTCGGATTTTACGGACTTCCACTCCAAAGCAGGAGGAGGTAGAACAGTTCCTCTACCTCGCTTCAGTTCCTAGTCATTCCTTCAGGAAGTGAGAAGAAAAGCAGCTCACTGATCTCTGGGAAACCCAAAATTCGCTGAGACATTCAAGGGACACCTGAGAGATTGAGGGTACAGTGGTGCCCCTCATGAAGACGATAATCCGTCCCATTGAAATCGCTGTTTAGCGAAATCGTCGTCATGCAAAATCTGTTTCCCCATTGGAATGCATTGAAACCCGTTTAATGCGTTCCAATGGGGAAAATACCTCGTCATCCAGCGAAGATTGCCCATAGGGAAGCCATTTTGCAAGCGCCGATCAGCTGTAAAAATGGCTGTCCTGCGAAGCAGGGGACCGGAAAACACAGGGCAGCCATTTTGCGAAGCCGATGATCAGCTGTAGAAATCGTCGTCTTGCGAACAAATGGTTCGCGAAGCACAGCCCAAATCGTTGTTAAGTGAAAATTGCCCATTGGAATGACTGCTTTGCGAAACGCTATAGCGATTGCAAAAAGTCATCGTTATGTGGATTCGTCATTTAGCGAGGTCGTCGTCTTGCGAGGTACCACTGTATCTCCATATACTCTAAACCAGACCTGGGCAAAGTGCGGCCCGAGGGCCACATACGGCCTGTGAGCCACCCATCTGGCCTGCAGACAGTTTTGAACATTAAAACCATTTATAGCTTTTTGTCTAAAGTTGATCAGTTGCTTATCTTTAACATACCACAAAAAACCTCTTTAATATTTGTGAAGATTAACACGTTTAAAATAAAAACAATCATAACATCACTGTTTCATTTTATTTTTAAATAAAATTGGTTCGGTCCCCAAACACAGTTCAGAATTTTTCATGTGGCCCCCCCCTATAGAAATTAATTGCCCACCCTTGCTCAAAACAGAGGCAGCCTCAGTCAGAAATCAGAGAAACAGCTGGGGACCATTATAGAAGCAGAGTACCTCATGCTGCTTTGTGGCTTATATTCCCATTATCTAGTTTGGGGAGTTCCCGCTGGCTTATGGGGTGGAAGTCCATTAAATACCGTTTCCCCGAAAATAAGACCTAACCTGAAAATAAGCCCTAGTATCATTTTTCAGGATGTTCGTAATATAAGCCCTACCCCAAAAAGAAGCCCTAGTTAAGTGAACCCACACCCTCCACTCTTGTGCAGCAACCAGAAGATGACATGACTGTACAGTGGTGCCCCATTAGACGGTTACCCCACCTGATGATGAATCCGCTGTACGATGAGTTTTTTGCGATCGCTGTAGGTGTTTTTTTGCTTTACGACAATCGGTTCCCTGCTTCGGGAACCGATTTTCCACTTAACGACTATTCAAAACAGCTGATCGGCGGGGCGCAAAATGGCTCCCCGCTGTGTTCAGGACAGATTCTTCGCAAGACAGGGACCGCAAAATGGCCACCGTATGGACGATTTTTGCTGCACGAGCAGGTATTTCCCCCATTGGAATGCATTGACCGGTTTTCAATGCATTTCAATAGGTTGTTTTTGTTTTGTTTTGTGTTTTTGTTATTTTGGGGTTTTTTTGCTTGACGACGATTTCGCTCTACTGCGATTTTGCTGGAACAGATTATTGTCGTCAAGCGGGGCACCACTGTATTTAAATAAATGTAGATTGTTGTACATGAAAAAATAAAACATCCCCTGAAAATAAGCCCTGCTGCATTTTTGGAGCAAAATTTAATATCAAACCCTGTCTTGTTTTCAGGGAAACAGGGTATAAAAGTACAATCTTTTATGGGGACCCTTTTCTAGGTGACTGCCTAGATCACTGAGCCATCCAGCCACTTTAAAACATTAGCAATGTGTTGATAGTATATTACTGTTTAATAGACACAAACTGCTTAAGCCTGCTAACACGAGGGAAACTGTCTCAAATTGTCCAAATTCTCTCATACTGACACAGACTGCTGTTGCTTCTAGCAGAGTAACCTATAAACTGAATAGACTGCAATCAAAACTTCTTTTACTTGAGTATGCTGCCAAAGGCCAGACCTGGATTTTGTACAAGAGAAACCTACACTCTACCAATGTATAGCACTCCTCTGCCCAAATTAAGGTGAGTAATGGCATTCTCTAGGAAGCACAGAGCAGCTGATGGGTATGTTCTGCATATACAGTGGTGCCCCGCATAGCGACGTTAATCCATTCCACGATTAACGTCGCTATCCGGATTTGTCGCTATGCGGGGGGAAAACCCCATAGGAACACATTAAAATGGGTTTAATGCGTTCCTATTGGGGCGAAAACTCACCGCTATGCGGGGAATCCTTGATCCGGCCGCCATTTTCGCTACCCGGTAAGCAAGGGCAGGGCGCGAAAACGCTGCGGGCGGCCATTTTGCGGATGCGGCAGCCATTTTGGAACCGCCGATCAGATGTTTAAAAAACATCAGTTACCGATCATCGCAATGCGATGTTTTCCCTATTAAAAATCGCAAAAAACGCGTCACTATGCAAATTCGGCGTTAAACGGTGCACTTGTTAAGCGAGGCACCACTGTATACAGCTGCTCAAGGCTATTCTGTACCTCTCTGAACATAAACTGTTATTGTCAAGTCATAACCAGCTTATAGCAACTCTAACAGGGCTTTCAAGATAAGTGAGGTATTCAAGGAGTGGTTTTACCATCCCATACTCCCAGTGAGTTTCCAGGGCTGAAAAGGGATTCGAACTCAGGACTTCTCAGTCCTAGTCCAACACTCCTATCCATTACACCACACAGGTCATCCTCTAAATGTACACATGTATCCCTCTGCATATACAAAAAAGACATCTGGCACGGAACTGTTTGGCAATCTTTCTGCCCAGGAATGTGCTTTGCTTGCATTCAACTATAAAAAAGAAATTCTAATTCTCTTTGCCTTGGACTGATCAACTGTCAAAATAACCTCATCTATATACACATTCACAGTTGCCTTTTTGCCAAAACATCTCCCTACTTCAATGGGCAGCAGTCCCACCAGTCTGTTAATACAGCTTTCATACACATGGCACTAACAAGCTGATGAGTTTCTTCCAGCATCATCCCGTACACTTCAACTCAGATATAATCGCTATTTAACACAGTGTGTCTTGGTGATGAGGTTACCGTAAGTGCCTCGGGCAGGCTGCCCTCCCTCTGAAGCACCTGGGGAGAGTGGAAAGCTGTTAGCTCCCAGGCACCTGGAAGGAGTGGGGAAAGGAGAACTGGTTCCAATGAAGAACCGACTGATAGCAGGCACCTGCAAAGGATGAAGGAGAGACCTTTGGCAGGAGTAAAGGAGGAGCAGGGACTTGAGGAGAGATGGAAGGAGGAGTGGAAACCTCAGGCAAGGAGGAGACTTGGGGGAAAACAGGGGACCGCTTGCTTCCTCCACCCCTTGTTTCGCACCTCCAGGGAAGGCAGCTAGAAGGCTCCCTGGGAATTAACCCTAAAATCCACCCCGTTGCTAAAGGAAGGAGCTGTGGAAGAGGGACCCCTGTGCAGGTCCCACTGGAAGGACCACCATCGCTGACAACACCCTGGCCTCCACACGGGCTGATGGGAGGCCACGTTGTGGTGGTGGCAGTGCAAATGCCGAGGAAGAGGTGGCTTTGGGAGAAGCCGAGAAGCCCACTCGGGTACCTTCACCTGATTGTATTGACTATCTTTGAAAAGATAGTCAATACAAGGGCTGGACTCTTCAGCCAAGGGCTGGGCTCATTCTCCCCTCCTGTTTTTCAGTGCTGGGACTGTTGGGTCCTCAGTGAAGTGGGACACTTCTTGAAATGACACCACCTGGAGGGTTAGTGCAAGAAACTCAAACCCCCTCCCTCAGGACTCCCACAGAAGGGGTTAGAACTCAAGTCTCTGTATCTACCTCTGAGTCTGCCCCAATACACTCTGTCCTTGGTTATACACCAGCAACTTGGAGCCAATGAAGCTATTGCTGGGAGACCCAGCCGCCGCCAGTACCATCCGTGCGAGACTGACAGCACTCACAATCTTATTCCCAGGCATTTTTCTCTGATCCTGCATGCAGGCCATGGATGGTACACTGGTCACATCTGGTCGATCTCTTACCTCTAAGCAAATGACAGATCCTTGATGTTCTTTGAACACTCTCAGCTGCTCGCCAGTCACAATGTTCCAAGTCCGAATAGTGTAATCAGTGCTGCCCGAAAAGAGCTCCCTATTTGGAGCGTCAAGTATGAGACATAAAACTGCCCCAGTGTGTCCCATCAAGGTCTGGTGGCAACGCCCGCTGGACACCCACCAGACTTTGACAGTGCAGTCTGTGCTCCCTGTCACGAGGAAGTCCTGGCTCAGTTTCTCCTCCTCCAACTCTTCCTCTTCTGAATCTTGGAGAACATCTTTTGAGGAATAGAGAGCCAGGGTCAGAACACAGTTCCGGTGGCCCCGGAATTCCTGGATTGGATTCTCTTTATCCACGCTCCAGCAACGGGCTGTCCTGTCATAGGAGCCGCTGAAGAGATAATCTTTCGAAACAAGAATCCTGTTGAAAACAAATTAACCACACAGCAACATGTCCCATTATCACCCTCACTTTAATGAAGGAGTTGAAACTACAGGCTGAGGGAGAAACTGCATTGACTTCTTTTCGGATACATTCACATCAGTTTGGAGGGTGTGATTACTTGAGCTGATGTGGAGGGGTTTAGAGCTGTTCTTTTTGAAGCCATTCCAGATGGCCAAAATGAGCTGTGAGAGAGGCAGGTAAAGGTAAAGGTTCCCCTTGACAATTTTTGTCCCGTCGTGTCCGACATAATCTTTCGAAACAAGAATCCTGTTGAAAACAAATTAACCACACAGCAACATGTCCCATTATCACCCTCACTTTAATGAAGGAGTTGAAACTACAGGCTGAGGGAGAAACTGCATTGACTTATTTTCGGATACATTCACATCAGTTTGGAGGGTGTGATTACTTGAGCTGATGTGGAGGGGTTTAGAGCTGTTCTTTTTGAAGCCATTCCAGATGGCCACAGAAGCTGTGAGAGGCAGGACAGCGGAAAAACTGGCTGCCATCCGAATCCTCTCCTTCCTGAACTTGTTCTGTTCTCCTCCCGCAGGACAGTGGAAAACTGGCTGCCATCTGAATCCTCTCCTTCCTGAACTTGTTTTGTTTCTTTCTCCTCCCCACTTTTCTTTTTCTTAAGACTTGCTGTCCCACCCTAGGACATATAGCTGATTTTTAAAAAAAGGAGTGAGGACTCAGCAGAGATAGAGAAGTTATTAGTCAGACTTGTTTCCAGCTTTTTAAGGTAGCTCTGCTCTAATCGTGCCTCCTGCAAATCTGGACAGTCAGAGCAGAGCTACCTTAAAAAGCTGTAAATAAGGCTTTTGAGAGGCAGTTTCCTCCCTTCTCTCAGGTGACAAAAGAAGGTCTGGCTTTAAACTTCTCTTGTGGGTAAATAATAGTAACGCAGAATTACAACTTTTTAAACAAAGCCTCAGCTACATTCTTTTACTATGCTGAAGTACTCTTAGTGCTATAACATTGCTTTGTCAGATGCATCTATTATCAATAGAGATGGGGGTAAATACTGTACGAATATCTCCATCTCTAATTATCAACTGGGCAATATCTAAAATGGGGTTGTAAACCATGAAAACTCACACTGAAATAAATCTTTCAGGCCAGTGTCCTGTTGAACTTCTGCTAAGCAACATAGTAAAATGGGATCGTGTTAGTGCAAAGGATATCTGTTTAGTGGAGATTACTTCTTATACAACAGCAGTGCTTGTATGAGCAGTCGAAACCCCTGAGGTGTGTGCTGGTAGGCTCCCCTAAATTTTAATTATAAAACTGAGGTTATGTTTCCCCACCCCTGCACCCCAGAATTTGATTACCAGCACTGGATTCAGTTCAGTTCCTTATTGCTTTTTCTTATCCCTAGACCAGTACAGTAGTTCCCAATCTTGTTTCCCCATATGTTCTTGGACTACAACTCCCAGAAATCCTGGCCAGCACAGTTAGTGGTGAAGACTTCTGGGAATTTTAGTCCACAAACATCTGGAGACTCCAGGTTGCAAACCACTGCCTTAGACTATAGCTGTATCAACACTGTTGCTAACTATTTATGCAGCCAAGACCAAATGCAGAAAACATTTGAACAAACGTATTCATACAAGGCAAGATGTGGAAAGGCTACTTGTTTTAAAGACAAATCAGAAGTGAGTCTGACAAATAACCAAGGCACCGGAATGCATGTGGGGGGATGGAGAGGAAATCTAGATAAATCTAAATAAATACAGTGTAGTACCTACCTATTCACAATTGAAGTGTGCCCTCGGTAAACGGCTAGGCACTGACCCGTCATCACATCCCACTTTCTGATGGTGTGATCTGCACTACATGTGAATGCAACTTCATTTTCTAAATGGCAAAAGGTGATGTAGCTTTCATGCCCTAAGAATCAGGTGTTTTTGAACTGCAACTCCCAGAAACCCCAGCCAGCACAGCTGGTGGTGAAGGCTTCTGGGAGTTGCAGTCCAAAAACACCTGAGTAACCCAAGGTTAAGAACCACTGCCTTAGACTATAGCTGTATCAACACTGTTGCTAACTATTTATGCAGCCAAGACCAAATGCAGAAAACATTTGAACAAACGTATTCATACAAGGCAAGATGTGGAAAGGCTACTTGTTTTAAAGACAAATCAGAAGTGAGTCTGACAAATAACCAAGGCACCGGAATGCATGTGGGGGGATGGAGAGGAAATCTAGATAAATCTAAATAAATACAGTGTAGTACCTACCTATTCACAATTGAAGTGTGCCCTCGGTAAACGGCTAGGCACTGACCCGTCATCACATCCCACTTTCTGATGGTGTGATCTGCACTACATGTGAATGCAACTTCATTTTCTAAATGGCAAAAGGTGATGTAGCTTTCATGCCCTAAGAATAGTATATAGAACAGAAAATGGTCTGTACAAATCAAGGAAAATTATACAATGAGATTTTTTTTTAAAAGGTCTGGATTGCACATTAGAGTGACGAAAACTACTCATATGGCACATACACATTAAAAGGCAAACCAAATCAGTTTTATTCAAGTCCACCTATTAAGATGCCCTCTTAATAGATGCAGCTATAGTTAAGTATGAGTACTTAGATTCTCAGACATGAGAAAAGTTACTTTTCTGGATTACAATTCCATGTCAGCTGCAATATTCTAGTAGTCCAAAGAAGTAACACTTCCCATCTGTGGGATTTCTCTCTCAATTCCTAATCATCAAAATCACATGCAGATTCCTGGATTCCTGTAAAGAGAGAAATTGCTGCCAACCTTATTTTAAATCCGTGGATAAATACTCAATCATTTGGTTTCTCCTTAAACAAATACAAGTTGCAAGATAAACAATTTAGAATATTTTCCTGGCCATCTCGAGCAAACACATCATAAAACTTTATTTCAAAATTCAACCACGAGCAACCCGGTCCCATATATTTCCAAGGCATAAGTCCTACAGAAATCAACACTCCTAAATGTGCACACACCAAAAAAAAGCAACTTATGACCTTTTGTATTTAATCCTACTATGCAGGTTCTCGGTGCTTAAGAAGAGTGCAGGAAGAATGCAGTCCATGTGAAGTTTATGCTTTGGAAAACTCAAGCATTTTCTGAATCATGAATAGGAACGCTTTGTTTTGTTTTCTTTTTTTCTTTTTTGCAAACCAGTCCATAACATTCTATTTAAGGTATTTCCTCCTATGTAGTAGGGCCCCATATTCTATAATCCATTTGAGGCCAATCTATGAGAAATGTATTTATCATCCCAGTCTGAAAATCAAAACAACCTGAGAGTTAGCAATTAAACAGTTTGCATCAGCTCCATTGGGCTCTGTTTACTCAGCTGCAAAATGCTTTATTGAGGAAGATCCTCTGTGGGACTAAGGTATCAAAGTGCTAAATCCCATAGTCAAACCAGTAATAAAAAGCACACTTTCCCTACCTTGAAAATGGGCCCGGCATTGGCTGTCAGCTGTGCTCCAAAGCCGCGCAGTGCCGTCTTCACTGCCTGTCAGTAGCCACTGCCCATCTGGACTGAGGCTGAGCCAGTTGATACCTCCCTGGTGTTCTGTGCAGACTTTCAGAGCCGAACCACTGCTCCCCATTCTGCAGGTTCCACCAGTGGCAGAAGTTGGGATGGTAATGCTCATGAGCAACAAGACATACTATGACTGGGAACAGTTGTTGTTGCCCCAGCGGTCAATTTCAGCTGTTCTGTGAGGCAAGCGAATAGCAAGGAAGTGCTGGACTCTGAAAAATAGAAAACTGTTTTAAGGGTCAAATAATATTATACTTTTTAAGTAACTGGGCACACAAGTATATTTACACTGTCCGGAATCTCCACAATTAATCACATTTAGCCATCGTAAAATCAGAAAATGATGGAGTTGGCAGGTGCTTATGAAGCCATCAGGTCCAAGCCCCTGCTCAACACAGGAATCCAAATCAAAGCATATTTGACAGATGGTTGTCCAATGTTCTCTCAAGTGACTCCAGCACGGGAGCACTCACCACCCCCCAAGATAATTGGTTCCACTGTCATGCTGCTCTAACAGTTAAGTTTTTTTTATTGATATTCGGCCTAAATCTAGATTCCTATAGCTTTAGCCCATTGTGGTGTGTCTTGCACTCTGAGAAAATTGAGAACAGGTCCTATCCCTTCTCTGTATAACCACCTTAAGTGTTATCATATTAGCAACAACTGTACCTTATTATGAGTAAATCTATGACATGAAACACATTATTATTCATTGTATCATGAGTCCGACCTTGAGAAATGCAGTGCGTAGAAAAGTTGCTGTTTTTTTTACTTCAACTCCCAGGATCCCCCATCCAGTAAGATGGGGGATTCTGAAAACTATACTGTATATCCAAATTAACCCAGCACTACAAACACATAATTGGCCCAAGTGAAATTACTGTCTTCTGCTGATTCTCAAAGTGCATCATGGTCTTGCAGAATTTTGGTTTTTTAACGTATGGTTGTTTGTCTTACATAATTCAGAGCACCAGTTCTTATTTTTAACGCTTTAAATAATCTTAAACCATGATACTTGTAGAACTGTCTTTTCCCCAATAAGACCAACATTCACCTAAAATCCACAATTAAAGGAAGCCACCATCATATCAAATAAGTGGCTATCAGGAAGTCTTCTCCCTTATTCCTAACCATCCAGTTGGTACTGTCATCGTACTCCAACTGTGAAGCTGAACTCCTAGGGAGGTTCACCTCACACTCATTAATGTCCTGAAATGCTAGGTGAAGCCTGTCCTGTTTTCATGATACTTTTAATAAGAGGATTTGTTTAGATGATCAGCATCATAGAACTGCAAAGCAGGAAGGGACCCTCTAGATCATCACATCCAGCCCCTGTCAAGGAGGCCCAGTGGGGAATCGAACTCCCAGTCTCTCGCTCCGCAGCTAGATAGTAGTTTTGAGTGGATACCATGCTTTCACATCCTCTGTAGCCCTTTTGCTTGCACTGCTATTGGCAGATAAATTCTGAATGGGGGGGGGGGAATGTGCCACTAATAGTCCTCAGCAACCTGGAGTTTGTGACACATTTCCTTGTAGATTTTAAGTACAAGCCATGCTAATACAATATGATGCACTTATTATGCCACCACCTGGAGTAAGGAGAGGAAGGAAATAGCCATGCTTTAAAATCTGTAATCTCAGCTATACCATATTTTTTCTTTAACGTTCTTGCCACAAATAATGGTTGCAATCCACATTTCCCAAAGCACTTTGCTACTCGATGGAAGGCATATGAATCTGACCAATGTGTTTCTAACACTCTGTGAATTTTGTGCCAAAAGTAATAAAGTTCTGTGACCAGAATAAAGTGAAAATGCTATGCATACCAACAGTCTGCACACATTTAATGTGCTTTAAAAACCCAGGTTTCCAAAATGTTTCAAATTCCTAGGCAAAGGCTAAAGGGGGAAAAGTAGGGAAAACATCATGATATTAGGAATATATTGGGGCTGTGAGGATGCAGAGCTGCTTCATGTTAGAAAACCTCCATATAATGTTGCAAGCTTTGAGACAGCTACATTGGTGTTGTTTTTTTCTCCTGCTTAAGATTTTCTGTGTCCCTGATTTTAAACAGAAGAACTGTCGTGGCAAACTTTACAAAACCTGTGACCCCAGACTAGTAACCAGTAAGAGATGCATCAGCCCAACAGAAGATGGCTATACTAGTTTTACATCTGAGACAGCAAAAACTCAAAATTAATAATACGAACACAAATAATTTGAAAAGCACCCAACAGATTCAAAATGATGGCTTCTTGTTTCTCTATTAGTATCAGAAGCACAGTACAATTAATAGAACACTATAAGATAAAATTAAGCAGTTACTTGCATCTAAACACAAACTGGATTATTACTTGCATATACAACACAAACTGGATTATTAAAATAAAACTGTAAATCTTAGATAAATATGTCAGATAATTTTTATCCAATAATGAGCAACATCAAAGACATTCGGGGCAGTTAATATCAAATATTCCATAGCATATGTTGAGGGACAGAGTACACTGATGCAGGTGCAACATTACCTGTTCTTCTCTGCACTCACAGATAATTATGTGACTACAACAAGCCAGTTTTCTTAGGTTCACTTTGGTTCTGCCAACTCCAGTCCATACCTATTAAGTGACTTCCAAGTCACCCAGTTCTCCGTGTGATCAGAGGTGACATTTTCTTGGGACTCCATCCATTTTAAGAAGTGGGTTGTTTTTTCTTTCTTCCCACACTATAAGAAAGAGAATGTTATGGGATGGCTATCTCTGGTGGCAAAAATGATGAAACAGAGGCTGATCTACTCCGAGAACATGAGAAAGTAGGGTTCTCTGGGAAAGACAATAATACTAGGCAAGTTGGAAGGCAGCAGGAAAAGAGGACCAAATACAAGACGGACTGATTCCCTAAAGGAAATCACATCCATGAGTTTACAGGACCTGTGCAGGGCAGTTGAGGACAGAACTAGAGATGGACACGAACCGCCGCTTCATTGCTTGAACAAGTGTCTGGCCTTTCCAAGCCCTGCCTCCTCTAGCAGATGCCCACTTAGAGGCAGTGCCTGGAGAAGGTGGGGCTGGGAAGCCAGGGTGCTGCCTCTTGAAAGGGCACCCACCAGAGGAGGCAGAGCTTGGACGGATCAAGGACGCGTTCAGGTGATTTAAAAAATGTCATGAACCGCTGAACCAGCAATTCATGCCTATTTGTTGACAGAACTTATTGAAGATCACTCATTCAAAGGGTTGCCATACTGTAAGTCAGTGGTGACTTGATGGCAGGTAACATCACGTAGGGACGTGGTGGCGCTGCGGGTTAAACCACAGAAGCCTCTGTGCTGCAAGGTCAGAGGACCAGCAGTCAGAAGATCGAATCCACATGATGGAGTGAGTTCCTGTCGCTTGTCCCAGCTCCTGCCGACCTAGCAATTCGAAAGCATGTAAAAATGTGAGTAGATAAATAGGTACCACCACGGTGGGAAGGTAACAGTGTTCTGTGTCTAGTCGCACTGGCCACTTGACCACGGAAAATGTCTACGGACAAATGCTGGCTCTGTGGCTTGGAAATGGGGATGAGCACCACGCTCTAGAGTCGGGCACGACTGGACTAAATGTCAAGGGCAACATTTACCTTTACCTAACAACATCAAACAAGCTATGATTGACCTGGCAAGTCACAAGCAGCACAGTCCTGTTAGTCTGCTCAAGTAGGGTATTCAAAGAAAGCAAAGTGATATCACTGTACAAAGCCTACAATCTACCCGGTTACCCCAGCCCAGCCCAGCCCAAGCTCTGGTTAATATGGAGGATTTACTACATGCTCGACTCTGCATAGTTCCTACCCATCCAAGCCAGAAATATATTAAAGCAAAACATAAGAATGTCTGATGGACGCAATGCTGATCATACCCAAGAAATACCAGGAGGTATGAATAGGCTAGTACTGTACCATAGTTCATATCCCCCAGCTCCAGTGAAATCGACCTAAGTTGTGGACAGAGAGACCAGCTTTTCCTTCACTTGGATTGTAACGCTGATATTAAATCATTACCAAAACTGCCGCTTTGGAAATGGATTGCTACCCATGACCTGCTCTGACTGTGTTTCTATAGCACTGCCTTTCTCACAGTGTGATTTATCTGATTCTTCGAAGCCTAGTGCTGTCTTTTTAATGAGGTTGGCTGCCTCTTTCTCCTCTCTCTATAGGAAAGGCACATATATGAAAATATAGGAGGAGAAAGGGGCCCTTTTTCCAAGGCGGGGGCCCTCCAAGCCCAGCCGATGGAGGTCTCTTCTCTCGCCCTCGCTAATCCCCTCCCCACGACACACACACACACACGTGTGTCTGCTTTCCCTCAGGCTTTCCCTCGCCCGGCTGGGCCGCGGCGGCGCCGTTGGCCGAGTCCTTTCCCTCCCAAATTAATCGATCGATCGATCGATTCCCCCCCCCGCCACAAGGTTGAAAGGTGTCATGGCCACAGAGACGAGCGGGAGGACTGGGGGGGAAGGGGGCAGCCCTACCTCGTCTTTTCCTCCACGACATACCCCCCACACCCCACACACACAGAGGGGGGGGTTCCTCTCCCGTTTAAACACACACGCGAAGGCCACACCCCCAAACCTTGCTGACCAGCCCCCCAATATATATCAAAACAGCCGACCCCCCCCAAATTCCCAATTTCTTTTTTACCTCACGCCCTTCAGGGGCTCTTTCAA